CACAATGTGCCTTTTGTGTTAGCAATTTTTTCCTTTTCTTTAAAATTCACTTTTTAGACTTTTGAAGAACAGAAATTTTAGAATGTTAGTCCTTCAATTTGATAGTTGTAGAGAAAAATCCTTTCTCCATATTCATTGGTGTGAATAAATACTGTTATACTTTAAATAAAAGCAAGTTTATGAAATTTTAAATTCAAATCTTTTTGTATTTATTTAGAATAAAATATTTTAAGATATGCAGATTTGGGAGATTATAAGACAGCCCTAAATATCATGTAACCTGGTTGTGTATATTTATATCCCCTTCTATTAAATTTCCCCCAAAAGTTCTATGCTGTGTTCTTAGAATTTAGTAAAGGAGGATATTGTATACAATGTATGAAAATCTATTTGAAGTTAAACATTACAAACATTATACTCGCACTTTATATCTTCGGTTTAATCAGAACAATCTCTACAGGTTTATGTGCCCTCACTACCATACTTTAATTTTATCTGCTTGACTTTCTGAATTTATTGCAGATCTCACAACTCGATGCATATAATCAAATAAATTTAATGCTGAGGCCATTATCTAGGCACAAACTGTCTTCCTTAGTAATTAATTAGAAATTAATCCCAGCCCAGACTTGTCCTACATTAGTCTAGAAGATGTCTGAGAACCAATTTAAAGAACTCTAGGGAAAGTATTACCAGAATACAAGACTACTTGGTGACTGCTGGAGAAATATTATGCTCATATAATTAAAACCCCCAGTGTCTCACCTCCATGTCAAGGTTCACTATGGTTTATGGAGCTGTATGTTTTTAGTATCTCCCTATAAACTGGTTATTGGTATCATAAAAATTTACCTTGAAGATAATATGTTGTGTGTCATACTGCTAAAGCCTGTAACTGCCAGAAAAACTGGTCTGGTAGGGTTTGTCTCAGGTCTATAAAAAGATTGCAGATATAAAATCTATCATGGCTCAATAACATGAAAAAAGATCATGGCACATGTTGCACTTTATTTCTAGAATAGAAAATTTGGATCTAAAATTATATGATTTGCTTTTGTCTGAGTGTCATTTTGCACTTCATTATTGACTTCCTTTATCTGTGGAATACCATAGTTAATTGTTTTAGTCTCGAATTCAGCATATTTGGTGGACCTTAATCCTCACAGCCTCCCTTCCCACACTGCATGTCTGTTTCTACATGGGTTTGTAAGTGCTTAACCATCTAAAACCAAACTTCAGCTTCTTCAGTAGAAGTTTTCTAACAGAATTAAGAGTATTCTGTGTTTCTGCTCTTCAAACAGTAGTAACAAGTAATATTGAACAAGAAGGCAGTCGGAGGGAGCAGTGCCCCTGTTCAAAATTTCATTTTGGACATTTTTTTTTTTGTGTGTGTGTGTGTGGTGCTGGGGATTGAACCCAGGTCCTTATGCAGGCAAGTCAAGCACTCTACCAACTAAGTTATATCCCCAGCCCTCATTTTGGACATTTTAATGCTCAAGAAATGGAAGAAAATTTAAAATGAAGAAAATTAATAAGAGAGATTTGTATTTAGAATTATTACTAGATTTTCAAATTTAACAATAACTTAATTTGAATATTTTATTAGTATAGATTTTCAGTGCAATGAATTACACCGTCTTAAGGATAAATGATTATTTAGTTTCAGATGCCAGAGCCTCTCTATCACAGAGTGCCAGTTTATAACTTCAGTAACAGCAACTCCAAAACTATGCAGAACATGGTTTAATTTTCTTCAACCATAGACTTTATAGATAATCACCATCATGACTATGTATAAGTTTATTGTCTCAGAATGGGATATAGGTTAGTAAGAAAGGATCCTATCCACCACTCTCACTCCCAATCCTATCCACCACTTTCACTCCATTGTTTTTTGGGGAGGGTGGGGGGCTGGAGGTAGAAGTAAACAGGAGAAAGGTGGCCACACAGAGTAGGATCCAGGGGCTCATATTTATCAGGACTGTTTCCCAGAGTCCTTCAGTACCAAATGGAGGTAAGTTTTCCTAGTGACATCCTCCACTGTCTTAATTTTGTGCTTTCTTGCAGCTCTTAATTAATTAGGTCTTGTGTTACTATCAGAAAAATAAGTGTGAGTAGTCATCACCCTAACAGGGAAAGATAGCCAACTTTCTTTGTTCTTAGGCCAAACATACCAAACCAAGAAGCAGAGTTAAAGCAATCTGATGTCCTGGAAAGACCAGTTGTACACAGGCTGCCCTCTGACTAATGGTATTTTAGCACACATAAGAGTTTTTGTTGGATGATCATAATTAGAGATCTGTTTCCATCCAATTATCCTGAATTGTGAAGGTCAAAGTATAATTAATTCCAGTGAATAATTCAAAATTTAATATTGCTAATTGATGTGAATAAAATAAGAATCTACCTTTTTCTACTATTGAGAAATCCAGTTCAATATGGCAGACTACTCCTGCAGTTTTTTCAGTGTTTTAGCTGTATTTGTGCTAAAAATTGTGACTTCTTTCTTTGGGGGAATGTTGCTATGAACTCATGGATTTTTATTTATTTGATGTTTTATAATTAAATATATTTATTCTTTATTGATTGAATCGTCCCAAGTCTGACCAGGGACGATTGACTTGCCTTGACTCTTTGGCATGGTACACTAATAACCATGGTCACCTTGCTTTCTGTCACAATAAGGTTTTCCATTCACCTCTGTGCTTTGCCTGCTGCCGAAGTGGAGTTAGGCATTTCTCCTAGTAGTCTGGGTTCATTTTAGTCAGGAATGACTTAGAAACCCAGATCTGAGACATCTGTCTCAGATATGTCATTGTTGCTAAGCCTTTTCAATGGATAGAGTTCAGAGGAAGTGTGTGAGCTTTCATTTTGAATTCATGTTGACATTTCCAAGTCAAGTTAATATTAGAGTTTTGTTCACCTTCTTTGATTTTATTATTCTTTCTCTCTTTATCTTCAATTTAATATTTATCATCCCCACTCTCTCACACATTAGAACATCTTTTCTAATAATAATTTTTCGTTTATTTTGTGTGTGTATTTTTTTGTTTTATAATTGCGTTCAATAGTAAAATAGTTGAATGAAGTTAAATATGACTGTGCTTCTTTTCTCATTAGACTATATCCCATAAGCATGTAGTCATTGACTACATACATGTATTTAAGATATTTTATCTCTGTTGACTATGCTTTTGGTTTGATATTATCAGGTACATATTTTCAATATTAGAATTTGCTTTTTTAATGTTTTTAATTTATTTTTGAACATGTAGTAGGAGCACTGACATAATTCAAAAGCCAGACTATTAAACACACACACACTCACTGAGCAAAATCTTGCTGCATCTTCCATTCTTTCCCCACCATACATTTTACCCTTTATATTAGTTTCTTTTGCAAAAATTAGCTCTTAGGTGTATACATACATGTGTGTAAAATTGTGTGTGTTTGGTATATGTACTCCTCATCCTTTTATATGTTAAGTATACTTTTATCTATTTTTCTTTTTGGACTTAATGTATCCTGAAGATTATTCCATATCACAGTATAGATCCTGTTTTAAAACATAATGAGAAGCAAAAGGATATCGGTAATCCTCTATGTGAATGTGTTATACTTTATTCATATATAATTAATAATTAATTAATTAATATACTAATTAGTATACCTTTGGGCTTCTAATGCATATATTGGGTTATTTTTAAAGTAACTGTTTTAACTATTTGGTGTGTTCTTATTGCATAAAATCCAAACTCTCTGTACACCCTCCTGAAGTCTGTAGAAAAGATACTTCTGTCTGCAAATAGTGTTTCCCATGAGATAAAAAGAAAAGAAATGGATGGCGAATGTCTGATCTGACCTCTACTTATAGAGCTAGTAGCCATTCTAAGCCATAAGTTATGGTTGGCGCACAGCGTTCCCTCAGAGTCTTCATCTAGTCAGGAGATTTAAGCTTTGGATTACTCAGCAATCTATAGTAGGCTTACCTAAGACTCCAGTAATCATTCGAAAATTGAATAGAAGGATTGAGGTCACCTGGCATACTCTTTAATCCTGCAATTGATCTCTGAGCTCATGGTATTTGCTGTGGGTTGACTTATCTATTTTCCCTATAGGCTGCATTTATCAGTAAAAGTGGTTTTTCTCAAAAATTGTTTGCTTTCAATTCTTGTACTATTGTTTTTCTATTATATTAATCATTGCAAATATTTTTTTTCCAAATATTAACTTGCTTATTTCTTTTCTTGATCTACAAAGGACTTAAGGTGATACACTTAGTGTACTGTAGAAATTGACCATCTTTACACTCTTTCAAGTCTTACTTATTATGAAGATCTCCAAAGCAATATATATTATGTAAAACTCAGGTCCTTCTTGGAATTCTGTCACATCTTTAAGTGTGCCACAGGAAAATGGCTGATTTACTAAACTTGATTGAAAGATCATGGATTGTAACACTTAAATTTGTTCACAGTCCCATCAAATAAGACCACAGGCTGGTGAGAAAAAAGTGCAAAACTATGAAGTTTTTAATAAAACATCTGTGAACTAAAATGCTGACATTTTCCTGCAAGTTATGAAGTGTATATGTAATAGATTGTTTTGTAGCCAGCATATGAAGATGTATGTTTCTTTTCACACTATGAAAATGTAATTTCTTAATAGGATCCCAATCTTGTGATTGTACATCATGTGGAGTTTCAGTGATGATGTATTCATATATGAACATGGGAAAGTTATGTCTAACTCATTCTACTGTCTTTCCTATTCTCATCACCACTTCCCTTCCCTTTATTCCCCTTTGTCTAATCCACATCATGTATGACCACAAGAATGGGATCCTAATTAGAATAAGTTATACTCCACGTATGTATAATATGTCAAAGTATACTCTACTGTCATGTATATCTAAAAGGAACAAATTAAAATTTTTTTAAAAAAGAAAGTGTAATTTCTTGCCACTACTAAAATATTTTCCCTTTATTATTATTTTTTAGTATCTAAAAAACACGGCAAGCTCATTACTTTCTTACGAACATTCATGAAGTCTCGTCCAACAAAACAGAAGCTAAAGCAGCGAGGGATTTTGAAAGAGCGGGTGTTTGGTTGTGATCTCGGGGAGCACCTTCTGAATTCTGGCTTTGAAGGTAAAAATAAAGTCTATAAGATCATAATATTAGTTCCTGAGTTCTCCATATTGGTTTCTTACAACCAGTTACAGAATATATTAGGCAAGTGGTGTGTGTTTATTTTGGTTCAACAGTGAGTACTGAGCTTTCTCAGGGACTTTTCTCAGTTTAGGGTAAGAGTGGAGAAGTTCAAACATTCACCATGGCATTAGTGGGGCTTGTGATCTGCTTTGGAAGAATGTTATTTGCACGAAAAGGACACAGCAACATTGTCACTTTGCATTTTTCTTGTGTCTGTCCAGATGGCTTTATTAGCCAGTTTTCCTGCTCATTTGGTAAAAAAAAAAAAAAATCTTCAGGCATACTTTTGAGACTATAAAATACCAAAACCAGCCTTCCAACTTTGATACCTAAAGATTTATATTCTTTTCTCTACAAATTAAATTCTGAATTAAGACTTTAGTTGAGTGAATGGATGGAGGAGATGAATGAATAGGAGGGGAGGAAAAAAAGGGAGTTTTCTTTGGATATTTTAAAATAGCATTCTCCTGCATTATCCTTTTTAGTCAGCATATTAAGGAAATATTTGCCTGTGCTGTTGATGAGTACCAGAAATAGATTATTTGTGAGATTCTTAACCATTATGAGATAGACCACTATGGAAACCAGTGGTAAATACCTTTAGTAATATCAATTCCAAATTAAATCCTTATTCACTTCTTAAAGAATTCTAGTGAACTTAGAAGAATTTAATACAAAACTATACCATGTTTTGTGAGAGAATAGACAAAATATTATCTTAAACAGATCTTATTCAGATATTAATGCCAACTTAATATAGTTCTTTAAAAAACAAAAAGACAAAAAACCCTGAATATTATTTTTGCAAATGTCAAAATGCACATGAGAAAATCAACCATTGAGACTATCAGAGACCAATTGTGGGGGGAAAAGATCAGAAAATATGGGAGACATTGAGCTTTACTAGATACTAAAACAGTATTCAAAACTAGAAGGAGGAGTTTTGTGAAGAAAATGAAATATAAGAATGAAAAATAGCTGAGAATGTTTAGAAATAATTACTACTATATGTAAAAAGTCCATTATGATGAAGAATGGTTTTAGAACTGTGTTATAAAGAAGGGTTATTTACAATAACATATTAAAATAATAATAATATATCTGAAAAATTAATTCCTACATTAAGTCACTGAAAAAAGAACCCTCCAAATGTTTAAGAGAGTTAACTACTTTAAATTCATGGAATTGCCAATGTGAATTGATTTTGTTTTGAGGTTAAAAAAGGAAAAAAAATTTCTCAGATTTAAACAAAAAAATAAGGGAAGAAGGGGCTTCAAACATACGTATATGTTTTTCAAGTAATGAAAAAACACAAATGTAGAAGGAAGGCACCATGAATTAGGAAAAATAACTGTTTTATGGATATGATGAAATGTGTTATCATAATGTGTGAAAATATCATTAGACTTTTAATTTTATTTATTTATTTTTTAAATTTGTTTTACTTAGTTACACATGACAGTACAGTGATCTTGACATATCATATATTTGAATCAAATGGGATATAATATCTCATTTTTCTGAATATACAGGTTCCAGAATCGTATTGGTCATCCCTGAGTAAAAGAAAAACAGCATATGGCTATCATAGGGTGATAGAAAGTAAACAAAAGACAGAAGCATGTCTACTCTCATTTGTAATCACAGAAATGTTCTTAAGCAATTTTGAAACACCATTTTACATTGATAAACATTTTTAAAATAGCAGAGCTGTTTTTTTCTTAATTGTGATATTTAGGGCCATTAAAGATAGCAATGACTTTTATCAATGCATAAAAATTATTGGTTTCAAGTAGCTCTAAATTAATACAACTTTTTTTGGTGGCATTTCATAGCAAGGAACATAATGGATTTTACAATTTTCCTTTCATATAGCAATTCTACTCCTGAGGAGTTTATCCTAGTGTAATAATTAAACAGAAAAAAAAGTGTTCATTATATAATATTATAAATGAAAGCAAAAAATGTTGAATACCCAATCTTGGAGGAAATTTTTCTACAAATTGTGAAGTCATTAAAAATTATAAATTTTAATAGTGTAGAAAAATGAAAATGTTATGTATAAACAGTAGATTAAAAAAACTTCAAACTATAATATTTAGGGATTATATAAAATGTTAAAAAATTAGAGTCAGAGAATATCTTTGTGATTTTTTTTCCCTAATTCTCCTTTTCAATTAAAAAGGGGGAAAAAAGCTAGAATAAATTAGAAATGAATTAAATAGTCTTGGAAGATAAAATTTTCTGCTCGTGGTCTGTCCAATAGAGAAAGTCTATTATTAGAAAAGAAAAAAATTTTACACTAGTATATAATTGAACTTTGTTAAATGTGAAGAGGCAGGAACTATGAAGACTGAAGTAAGATATATTCTAGTTGGCATATTAAAATAATTTCCTATTTCACCAGGGGTGATGAAAAATAAAGAATAAATATTCATATGAAATATTCATATAATATTCAAATGAGGTCTAAATTAGCAGGAAAAGAGAAACCTTTGAAGTGTATTAACTAAAATTTTAATTAGGAATGAAATTGGTTTTTCATATCAGAATTATTTAACTTTGATTTAATAAGTATGTGAGGAATTATCTTAACATTTTGAGATTTCACATATGTTGTATATAATCTGTACCTATAGTCACATTGTGTGTATACTTGCGCGTGCGCGCGTGCGCACACACACACACACACACACAGACTTTTATGGGGGTGGGTGGGTACCAGGGATTGAACTCAGGGACACTCAACCACTGAGCCACATCCCTAGCCCTATTTTGTATTTTATTTAGAGATAGGGTCTTACTGAGTTGTTTAGCACCTCACTTTTGCTGAGTCTGGCTTTGAGCTTGTGATCCTACTTCCTCAGACTTCTGAGCTGCCGGGATTATAGGCATGCGCTACTATGCCTGGCACATAGAAACTATTTTAACATTTAAAAATAACTGAAATTGAATATGTATTATGTATAGTATTTTAAACTCCGGGAATAATATATATTACATACATTTTATATATATAAATGTATAATCATATAATGTATATAATCATTCTCAAAATTGTTGTTTTAATTTAGACTTTAAAATATAGTCAAGTGCTACATACTGGCATTTTGACCAGTGATGGACCACATACATAACAGTGGTTTCATAAGATTATAATGCAGCTAAAAAATTCCTATCACCTAGTAGTGATGTGTAGACTTCCAAAAGTTTAACTAAGGGCTGGGAAGGTAACTCAGTAGTAAAGTACTTCCTTAACATGCACAAAGCCTAGGTTCAATCCCCAGCACCACCAAAACAAAACAAAACTTCTTGTGCAACATGTTACTCATGTGGTTTTGGTGATGCTGATATAAACAAACCTACTGTGCTGACAATTGTATAAAAATATAGAATATACAGTTATAATTATATGTACATAATAATAATAATGATAATAAATGACTGTTACTGGTTTATGTATTTATTATACTATACTTTTCTTATCACTTTAAAGTGTGCTCCTTCTATTTATTAAAAAAAAATGTTTACTGTAAAACAGTGTGCCTTGTTGTGTGTTATGCCAGCATATGCATCTCACATTGACTTTGTCTTTTGATTGTATCATTTTCTCTTGTGCTTGATATAATCTCATGTTGTTTGTTTATCATGTTTCCTAAGTGTACAGTAGCTACTGCTAATGACAGTAAGAGGCTACATTGATTCATTTGGAAAAAGATTGAGTGATTAAGGACTATGAAGTTGATAACATCGGTGATACATTGCTTACCAGTTAGGTATATCCCATCCTACCATAGCTGCCATCTTGAAGAACAAGAACAAATTGATGGAATCTGCTTCAGTGATGGGAAAGGGACTAAGAAAAATTCAAGAATGGCCTGGATCAAATATGAAGAAACTTCTAGTGCCCTAGATTGAAGACCAGGCACACAGAAGTATATCCTTTTTAGCACCATGACAGTCATGGCCCAAGCAGTTTGTTTGCAATGTTGAAGGAAAAGGTTGGACCCCACTACGATGTTGAACTAACTGGTACCTCTGGGTAGTTTGAATAAATCATGTCTTACATAATATGAAAGTGGCACATCTGTGAATGCTGATGTTAAAGCAGCTGAAGAATTTTTGGAGATCCTAGATAAGCTGATTATAGAGGAAAACTACTTGCCAGAGCAAGTCTTCAATATAGAAGAAACTTCAATATTCTGGAAACCATGCCTGAAGGACTTTCATCCATGAGAAGGCCAAGTCAGTGCCAGGTTTCAAGGCTTGTTAAGAATGGGACAACAGTTGTATTTAGGAGTGGTGTTGCAGGCTATGAATTGGAAGCCTTTCTGATCTGTCACAGCAGTATGCCCAGGGCTTTCAAGCATATCAACAAGCACACACTCCAGCATGCTTCAGGAGCAAAAAGATGTCATGCATAGTCCAGATGGCTTCGGGAAGTGCTATGTCAGGAAAGTACAGAAGCACTGTATGGATAATCACATACCTTTCAAAATGTTACTTATTGTTGGTAGTGCTCCAGCGATTCTCTTTTATTGCTGACCTTCATCCTAATATCAAAGTGATGATTTTTGCTCTGAATGCCACCTCTTTGATCCAACCAGTGGATCAAGGAGTTATAGCAGCTTTCAAGGTCTACTACCTGAGGAAGACCTTGGGCCAGGTTATTGCTGCAACTGAGGAAGACACTGATGCTGTTCTGGAAAGATTATAGCTTCTATGACTGTATCAAGACCTTATTTGGGGTTGAGGTGACGTCAGTAAGGAGTGTCAAAATGGCACCTGGAAGACACTCAAAAAGTTAATTCTGACTTCCAAGAATTTGACAAGGATGAGGAGTTGCAAAAATCAACAAGGCTGTGGTTGAGATAGGAAACACCTTTCTTTAGGTATGAATGAGGATGATGTTGAGGAGCTCCTAGAGGTGATTCCTG